TGAGCGCCAGAGAAAGGAGCCATTGAAATGCCCAGCGCTGGGGCCCCATGAAGGGTTAAAGGCAAGAGACTACGGTGCCTGGGCTCTTGCCACTCCTGGCTCAGATGTCGGGTATGGGGCTCCTAACCCTAAGACATGGGGCACTCAGTGAGACCACCAAGAGGACCAGAAGCAAGAGTCAGGGGAGATGCATGTCTCCCTCAGAAGTGCCAGGGATGGGGTGCCCCAGTATCAAGAAGGACAATGCTTTTCCTTTAAGAACCATTCTCCCCAAATAATATGCAGCAACAACTGGGCTCCAGTTGCCACTTGGGAGAACAACTCATCTGGGCAGGTGTGTCTCTACCTGGACTTTTTACATAGACCCTTACATGGGACCCTTGCAATACATTCTCCATAATTCAGCCAGCATGGCTTTCCTAAACACTGCCAATCTTATTGTTTATCATTAATTAATTATAATTAATGATGCATTAGTTGAAAGTGTATGAGTGAAAGCAGTGGTCACTAGAAGTCGCTGGTCACCAGACGAGATGACCAAGGGAACCTGTGGGATTTTCTCTGGCAGAGGTCTTTTTCAAATAGAGAAGCTGCTCATTAGGAGGATATGGCCTAAATGTTGGAAAAGGCACCAGAAGTGGAATTCTGTGCCTGCACTCAGTGCGTTTCTTTCCCAAGTGCCACTCACTCTTTCAAGCTACAGAAGTTTGTGGGGATTGAAGTGCAGGGAACATAAGCTGGTGTCTGTGGGCTGCAGAGGGACCTAGGAGGTGCCACTGGGGAGTGCACTCTTGGGTCCCTGAACCTGACCTCCAGCATCTTCATCCCCATGGAACCCACTGCTCTCCTGAGCCTGTATCTCCAGGGAGGGCATTCCACAGCTGTAGCCGAGCTTGTACCATGACCTTGTCATAGCAACCATTTTGGATGGAAACCTTGTAAAGCAGCCAATGCCTTCCTCAGCTTTCTTAAAAAGAGGAGCCTGAACAGAGTTTAATCCCATCATTCCCTTCGGTGCTGGGCTGTGATTTGGTGATGCCCCTGGGTCTATTCAGGTAGATATAGCTCTTTGCTCCTGTACCAAATGGTTCCGAACTCCCAGGCTTTTGGAACTCATCATCTGATTTTTATGTTTATTCTTTCATTTCTCCCTAATGTTTTCACTGTGAAACTGTATTACTATAAAGTAGGCAATTACCTCAAGCCCCCTTTTTATATAGTCCCTCTGAACTGCTTCTAATATCCTTAGGCTAGGAAACAAAATCATTAGCCTTGTAAGAACTGTGTATGAAGTAAGAGTCAGAAGGCTTGGAGTGAGAAAGGCCTGAGGAGCTCTCCTCTGAGCTCAGGGATTGAGCTCTTTGCTATTCTGACTGTTCAGAGGCCACCTAGGTTTTCCTTTAGGTCATTGATTTGGTTTGATCTAGACAAGTTGACCTCCAGCAGACAGCTGCATGCACGATCGGTGCATAAGATCTCTGCCAAGGTCGATTAAGTCAGAAGGAAATGATATCTGTACTAAGATAATTTTAGTTCAAAGATGGCCAAACATTATATACACCCCTACACCTACACACACACACCCCACACAGAGCAATGAGAGACAAGGTCGCCAAAAAGCCATTTGTATATTTCTGCATTTCCTAAAAAGCTTTCAGGGGATCATAACATTTTCAATTTGGAAAGAACTTCCAAAGGCCTGTAATTTTGCTCCCCCTTCTAGTTAAGGAATCCCTCCTATTACTTCCTGGACAGATAGGCACTTTACCCCCTTCTTGCATAGTTCCAGTAATGAGGAGCTCAGTGGTGTTTAAAGTCTGATTTCATCAATGCAAATCTCTGCCAAGAAGTAACAATACTTTATCCCTGCCACATCTGATCTACATTTTGTATGCAGATGTTAGTTTTGTCTTGTAGTGTTTTAATGCACCTGCCCTTTGGGGGTTATGGAGATGTGAATGGGGGACAGAGCTTCCCTGTGTGGGGTGGATATTCCTGCTGCCAGTCATCTTGGAGAAGGTAGGTCCTGAAATAGAAACTGTAAATTCTAGTCATGGGGATGAAAAGTACAGCATAGGGAATATAATCAATAATATAGTCATATCTTTGTGTGGTGACAGATGGTAATTACACTTACCATGGTAAGCATTTGTAATGTATATAATTGTGAAATCACTATGTTGTACAGCTGAAATCAATATAATATTGTATAGCAACTATACTTCAATAAGAAATAAATAAAAAGAGACATTCAACCACCACTTAAAGAATATTTTCAGATCCCTTTCCACAGAATATGAAACATAGAAAAATAAAACTCTACTTTAAGAAAGAAAAGAAACTGCAAAGGCTAGTTTAGCTGGAGAGGGAACCTCTGTTTCTCTGAGACTTGCTTCTTGGGCCTGAACTTGGAGTCCTTGAGAGTCTATCTGAGGGCAGGTAAGGCTGATGGACATTGTTCAAGGGAAGAAGGCTGATGGACATTGTCCCAGGGAAGAAGGCAGGTAGGCAACCTGTAGGGAACATACAGGGAAGATGAGAGGGTCATGTTGAAAGCAATATGACCTGAACGCACATCACTCTTTGTGTTTATACTCCCCTGTCATCCCTGAGCCTTTGGAAACCCTAGCTATCATTCTACTATCCATTCCACTTTAAACTGTCCAGCCTAGACCTGGCATTGAAAGAAGAGTAGGGAATCAGGTTTACTTCCCTAGGACATTAGAGCAGGAATGGTACCTTTTAAGGCCACCTTGGGATTTGGTGATTGCTGAGGGACCCTTAAATATGAATGCTGGGGAGCAGGAGTTGGGCCTGAGAGGTTCACCCACTTCTCTGCACATGATGATGCACCCATCACTGCCATACTCTTTTAAGCCAGCTGACAGATTCCCTATAAAAGTAATCCCTTAAATTGGCCTGCAATCTGTCTCCCAGTAATTTTCACCCACGGGACTTAGTCTTTTCTCTCTGAACTATAGAGGACAATCATTATAGCTATTCACATTCATTAAGTACTTCCTATATAGGCTGGGCACTGACACACAGAGATAATTGCTGAGATACTGTATTGTATCTCATTTATATTATTGTCCCATTTTACAGGTGAAGAGATTGAGGCTGAGGGAGGCAAAATAATTTGTTTAAGGCCTGACCCCAAACCAGTGGCAGGATGTGAACACATGCAATTTGATGTCAAAGCCAATGACCTTGACTCTCAGAATTTCTGCTTGTCTTGTCTCTGTGACAGCACCACAGAGACCTGCAGTCTGTGAGCCTGCTTCTCCAGGCCTATTTTTATTTCCAAGCTGAATCCCCACTCTACTTGCCCTTGCCATTTCTCCTTGTGCCATTTCCCCAGTTTCTCCTGACTGAGGTCTGGGACAATGCAAAGGATGCTAAACTCAAGCCCATCTGACCTCCTGTGACTTGTCCCACTCTGACCCCAGGCAGCCTCAGGCTGACGCCTGGAGAAGCACCGTTTTAGAAGCGTTCCCCTCAGGAGACTGTGCTTTTCCCGTCTGTCCTCAACATTTCTTCTGCCAGCACAACAGGCCCAGTTTTCCCTTCTGATAAATCTGGTCACCCTAAATATGGGGCTTTGAGCAAACAGGAGCGGCCAGCCCCACACAGCCCTCATTTCAAAATGTGGATTCACTAGGGCTGCTATTTTAGAGGTCTGGTTTCTTTCTCCACACACAGTGGTTTTAAGGAAGAGGGAAGGGATCATGACAGAATACTGGCAGGGGAAAGATGCCAGGGGAGAAGATGCACCCAGGCAGCCTTTGTTTCCCAAAGTTTCTTAGACACTGGCCCTTGGAGAAGCTCTAGCAAAAAAAGGGTTAGGAAATAAAGCTTTACCAATCCCCTCCTGAAGATCAGCATATTAAACATTCAAAGTCCTGGCCCTAAAGAAGTCTAACTGGTTTTGTAAAAATTTGGAAAACCGTGATGCAGAGCAGAAGTTGCAAATAGGTACCTACTGGCCTAAAATATGCTTCAGATAGGTTTCATTTTGGCCCGCACAGTGGTTAAATTTTGTTTTAAATTAGTTACTAGTACTTAGCAATTGGACTATTTCTCATAATAATCTGGATCAGGGTGCTGTTGGAAAATCAGAAAACCTGGCAGCACTGATCCACATTCTTGCAAGACAATAGTCAGCTGGACACCAGTTCTGTGGTCTCTGGCTCCCTGCAACCCCTGCCTTCCTCTGGCAATATAGGGGGCCCCATGCCTTACTCCTGCAGGATACTTGCCAGGTCCAGGAGTCCGCCAGCCTGCCTTCCCTGCTATGGAGATTGCCTAGGTGGGAGTTGGCCTGGGTGACCCTGGAGGCCCATTCATTCATTCATTCTTGCAACATATACTGACTGAGCTTCTGAACCCTGTGGATGTAAGCTGTATACAACAGTCCCTGCCCTCTGGAGTCTAGATTCTAGCTGTGAATTGCAGAATGAGGAGGGGGAGGGGATGGAAGAAGGAAGCTGTCAGGGCCAGAACCTAGTTTCCTGATTTCCAGCCCCTGGTGCTGGCCCAAAGTCGTCCCGTCTCCACTGCTGTCTCTATTGCCACTCTTATCAGCCATGGCGAGTCCCAGGCAAGAAGCCACTAACTTGCTCTGTAACGTAGACAAGTTCCCGCCCACCTCAGGTCCTCAGTCTTTGCAACTGTTGAACGACCCGGTTGGAGTAGAAAATAATGCGCCTCCCTTCTGGGGCTGGCACTCAAAGATGCTTAGACTCCAAGATCGAGGAATGTCTGTCTGACCGGGCCATTCCGGAGCTCTTCCGTCGAATTCCAAGAAGCCGCCCTCCCTCTTTTCCCCAGACCCGGACAGGGCAGGGTCTGGAGCCAGAGGGCCGAGCGGGCCTGGGCCTGGGCCTGGGCTTCCCGCCCGAGGGCGGGGCCGCTGCTCGGCGTCCCGCCCCTCCACCTGGGGCTGGGCCCCGGCAGATGTTACAACTTTTTCTCATTCTCTCCCGCGGTGTCCCCCAAGACCCGCCCAACCCGGACCTCCCCGCACTTCCCCGCTAGGGTCCTGCCCACCTTACTGCACGGAGCCCGACTGTTCTCAGGACTCCGGGCGGGGCGAGAGGCCGGGCCGGGGGCTGGAGGGTCAGGAGGAGGAGAAAGGAAAAGCAGAGGCGAGAGAAATTAGGAGGCGGGAGAAATCGAAGGCTAGAAGGAAGAGGCAGAGGGTGGTGGAGAGCACTTTTTGGAAGCCTCCACGCTGGGTCTCAGGCTGGCAGGGGTGAGCTGGGGAAGAGGGAGGGAGAGCAGCACAGGGTAGACGCCCAGACGGCGGGAGGCAGCTCTGCGCAGGCCTGACCTCCCCAGAGCGCCCCGCTGTGGCCGCGCAGGTCCGGCAGCCAGTCTCGGACCAGCTGCGGGGCCGACCCCGGGCGTGCAGAGCGCGCTGGCAGCGGCCAGGCCGGCTGGCCAGCGGGCGTGCGGACCGCGCGCCGTGGGCGCGCCAGGAGGGGAGGCCCGGGGAGCCCCCTGCACGCCAGCACGCGTGGGCCGGCATGGCGATGCACGCCCTCACCGGCTTCTCGCTGGTTAGTCTGCTCAGCTTCGGCTACCTGTCCTGGGACTGGGCGAAGCCGACCCTGGTGGCCGACGGGTCCGGGGAGGCCATCGAGCAGCCGTCGGTGGCTCCATCCCAGCCTCCTCACATCATATTCATCCTTACCGATGACCAAGGCTATCACGACGTGGGCTACCATGGCTCAGATATCGAGACCCCTACGCTGGACCGGCTGGCTGCCGAGGGTGTCAAGTTGGAGAATTACTATATCCAGCCCATCTGCACACCTTCACGGAGCCAACTTCTCACCGGCAGGTAGGCATGGCGCCGGATAAACCCAGGGGTTAGATTTCCTCTGCATTTATGACCGGCTCAGGGACCTGGGAAACCAGCGCTCAGGGCCAGTTCTTCCTCCAGTTGGCTGTGAGATCATTAGTAAGTCCTTTGCCCCCTCTGGACCTCCTTGTCACCACCTGTACACTGAACGGGGTTGGTTGTCTTTGGGATCTTCTTCCTCTGGTGTCTAGGATACTCAACACGCCACACCAGAAGAAGACATTTGGTCACCCGTTTGTTCTTACAGACCCTGAAGCCCAAAGCAAATCATTTAACTTCTCTAAGCCCCAGTTTTCTTGTCCATAAAATGGGGTGAAGAACAGTTTTATCCTGAAAGAGTGGTAAAGACAGAAAGAGTTCCATGTAACCTAGTTGGCAGTCAGTAAATGGCAGCCTCTATGTCACTGGAGGGATTAGGGTCCCCAAACTGTTGGATGACTACATTGGGAGGAAACCAAGGAATTCATAGTGGAGGAGAAAGATGCACAGGATGCCGTGACCTATGTAGCCTTAGGCTGGTCACTTCATTTCTCCAAGCCTCTGTTTTTTCATCTGAAAAATCCTCCAAAATTGGCTGGGAGCCCCAAGCAGACATGCTACATTCTCTCTGTAAGGAGATGTCCACAGACAAGGTGGCAGGATTGCAGGATCAAAAGAGCAGGAAAACAGGAGTAGGGGGTGTGAAGGCAAAGTCTGGCTGCATAGGAGGAAACCCTTTGGCAAGGCTGATGCTGATCCTTCTTGGATAGGGTCCAAGGTGTGCCTTCTCTCGAGCTCCACCCAGAAGCCCCCACTGTGATCTCAGGGGCCAGAGCCGGAGTTCTCCATTTCCTGGGTGGGAAAAACCGAGGCATGGAGGCAGGGAGGGTCCACCTCATGCCTGTACCCAACTTCAGGGTCTGTAGGCGAGGGGCTGAGAGGGGCTGGCAGGGCTCCTGGAGCTGAGGAGTCAAATAGGTGCCTTTTTTCCCTTCGATTTGGCACACAGCGTTTAGATCCAGGAACAGAGAGAGAACAGGAGAAAGAGGGAGAGGGGTTGGTATATGCGTTGTGGGTGGTGGCGGTGGTGGTGGCGAAGACCAAGTATTGACTAATCTCCAGAAGAAGGAGGAGGAATCTGCATTCCTGAGAGTTTTGCACAAGTTAGCATTTCTCACCCAAGAGGTGATTCTTGATTTAAGCAGGGGAATGAGCAGGCAGCAGGGCAGTGCTCCAGCATCTGATCTGCGAGGTCAGCTGACTGTGGCTGGGCAGGGTCTACCCTCCAGCCCCGGCATTGGCTCCATCTGACCGATGCTGATCACTCCCGTTAGTGTTTGTTATGCATCCGGTCATGTTTGGTGAAGTTGGAGAGAGCCAGAGTTTCTCCTGTTACTCACTTGCAAATGAGTTTTGGCAACTCTGAGCTGGCCCACCCACTTTACAAACCAGTGCTCCACTGTGCCCAGCCCCTGTGAAGAGAGGCTGGGAGTGCAACTCAGGGACCCAGGGTGCTTCTCATATCAAATTGAATCGCCCATGAGCTTGACCAGGTCTGCAGAGTCAGCATAACAGAGATTCTGAGCATGAATTGTGTAGACTTGGGTTCAAAGCCCAGCTCCACCGCTTGCCAGCTGTCTGTACTTGGACCTCTTGCAGCACTTTTAGGAGCCTCTATGTCATCCATAGAATGGCATAATAGTAGTCTTCCCTATAGGTTTTTTTTCAAATGAGGATTAAGCAAAATAATATAGGTGGCATACAGTATTAAAGATGGTAGGAGTAGCTAATGATAGATAATGACAATAACAGCTTTATATGAATTATCTCACTGAATCCTCACCACAACCTAAGGGGTGCATGCATATCATTATTAGTCCCATTTCCCAAATAAGGAAACTAAGGCTCAATAAATTAAATCACTTGCCCAGTGATCTGCACAAATAGTAACTAGAGTTGGGATTTGTATCCCAGGCAGCCTTTTGAGGCTTCAGAGTTCCTAAGTGCCTGAGCACACAGTGAGTGCTTGATGTTAGCTATTATTATTTTCTTGTCATGATTAATCTGGGTTCAACACTTGACTCCCTGGCTTCCTAGTTGTGTGGTCCTGGGTAAGTAGTTTAGCCATTCTGAGTCTTGGTATCTTCACCTGTAAGATGATAATGTCTGCTTCAGTTGATTTTGAGGATTCAATGCAATAATGCATTTGAAATACTTAGCACATGTGATAGTAGTACCCACTGGCTGCTGTTACTATGTCTGCTGCTGGTGCTGGGACCAGAGCTCACCGCAGGGTGAGTATTGGGGGTTCATAGCTCACCTGTGCCTTCTCTGGCCTCCCCTCTGGCCACCAGGTACCAGATCCACACAGGACTTCAGCATTCCATCATCCGCCCTCGGCAGCCCAACTGCTTGCCCCTGGACCAGGTGACGCTGCCTCAGAAGCTGCAGGAGGCAGGTTACTCCACACACATGGTGGGCAAGTGGCACCTGGGCTTCTACCGGAAGGAGTGCCTACCCACCCGCCGGGGCTTCAACACCTTCCTGGGCTCGCTCACAGGCAATGTGGACTATTACACCTACGACAACTGTGATGGCCCAGGGGTGTGCGGCTTTGACCTGCATGAGGGTGAGAGTGTGGCCTGGGGGCTCAGCGGGCAGTACTCCACAATGCTGTATGCCCAGCGTGTCAGCCACATCCTAGCAAGCCATAGCCCCCGGCGGCCCCTCTTCCTCTATGTGGCCTTTCAGGCAGTGCACACGCCCCTGCAGTCCCCTCGTGAATACTTGTACCGCTACCGCACTATGGGCAACGTGGCCCGGCGGAAGTATGCAGCCATGGTTACCTGCATGGATGAGGCTGTGCACAACATCACCTGGGCTCTCAAACACTATGGTTTCTACAACAACAGTGTCATCATCTTCTCCAGTGACAATGGTGGCCAGACCTTCTCGGGTGGCAGCAACTGGCCTCTGCGAGGACGCAAGGGCACTTACTGGGAAGGTGGTGTGAGGGGCCTGGGCTTCGTCCATAGCCCTCTGCTCAAGCGGAAGCGACGGACAAGCCGGGCTCTGGTGCATATCACAGACTGGTACCCAACCCTGGTGAGTCTGGCAGGCGGCACTGCCTCGACAGCTGATGGACTAGATGGCTATGACATGTGGCCATCCATCAGTGAAGGCCGGGCCTCACCACGCACAGAGATCCTGCACAATATTGACCCACTGTACAACCATGCCCGGCATGGCTCTCTGGAGGGAGGCTTTGGCATCTGGAACACAGCTGTGCAGGCTGCCATCCGTGTGGGTGAGTGGAAGCTGCTGACAGGAGACCCTGGCTATGGTGATTGGATCCCACCGCAGACACTGGCCGCTTTCCCGGGCAGCTGGTGGAACCTGGAACGCATGGCCAGTGTCCGCCAGGCTGTGTGGCTCTTCAACATCAGTGCTGACCCCTATGAACGGGAGGACCTAGCTGGCCGGCGGCCTGATGTGGTCCGTGCCCTACTGGCCCGCCTGGTGGACTATAACCGCACTGCCATCCCTGTGCGCTACCCTGCTGAGAATCCCCGGGCCCATCCCGACTTTAATGGGGGTGCTTGGGGGCCCTGGGCCACTGATGAGGAAGAAGAGGAAGAGGCAGGCAGGGCTCGAAGCTTCTCCCAGGGGCTCCGCAAGAAAAAATGCAAGATTTGCAAGCTACGATCCTTTTTCCGTAAACTCAACACCAGGCTGATGTCCCACCGGATCTGATGGGGTGGGAGTGAGGATCTCTGTCCCCCTAGATGTACTTTGCCATTCAACCCTGGCCCTGTTGCTTCCCAGGGAGGGACCTGAGGTCAGGTCCCCACTTGCAGGGAAATGGAGGGTGTAGAACCCTTCATTCAAAGGGTGAGGAGTCTGGTTTATGGGTGTGGAGAGAGCAAACTAGACTGGGATGTCTGGGTCCTAGTCCTGCCTTTCCATTGACTTGCTCTGTGACCTCAAGTGACCTACATGAGCTCTCTGGGCCTCAGTTTCCTCATCTGTAAAATGAGCTGGAAGGACTCTGTGGTTCTGTGGTTTGGACCTGGTGCCTGGGGCCATGGTGGAGTTCTTGCTGTCCTCACCACCTTCCAGCTCATTTAAAGCCTTGCCCTTGGACCCTGGGCCTCTGTAATCTGCGTGGATGAGGGGCCACACAGAGGCAACTCCAGGCCTGGACACCTGAGGAAGGGCAATCTTGCCACTCTCTGAAGGGATCTCCCGAGTGCTGAGGGTGGGAGTAGAGGTTCAGGGATTGGGGGGTTGACCTTCCTGGGTCTTCACATGGCCTGGGCTAATCCTGGGGCCAGACTGGTGGTAGGCACTGTGGTGGAGAGCTCTCTTTCTGCCCCCAGCACCCAGAAGGAATTGGCCTGACCATTAACCTGCTGCAAGATTGAGGGTGGGAAGCAGCTGTGAAAAAAGCCCCAGAACCAACAACCAGGACATGTGGACTCTGCTTTGACCTTGCGCCCAGTCCTTCCCCTGTGGGCCTCAGTTTCCCCTCCTAGCAAACGGGGATACTAGCCCTGGTTCTGCCTACCTCACAGTGCTGGAGAGGCCTGCCCAAGGTAATGGCTGTGGAGGAGCCCGTGAACTTGATTAAAATGCTGCAGCATGAAAGGAAAGGCTGCGGTGCTGCCTGTGAGCACGTGTGGGCATGTGCACATGTGTCCTGGGGACAGGTGTGAGCTCCCCGTCGGCTGAGTGAGTGGGAGTAGGGGTGTGCAGCCTGGTCAGGAGGCAGAGGGTCTGGGCTCTGGTTCAGTCCTGCCACACCTGCACTGTGTGACCTCGACAAGTCCTGGACCCTCTCTGGGCCTCAGTGTCCCCTGTGTACAATTGATGATCTAAGAATCCTTCCGCTTGGCCGTTCTGGGCAGCCCTGTGTGTGTGTGTGTGTGTGTGTTTGGGGGCATGGATGAGTGGTGGGAAGGAGGGGCATGGGGGTTGCAAAGCCTGCTTGCTGCATAGCGTGCCTCTATCCGCACACTGCGTTCTGCAATCTCTCTTCAGGTTCCAGTCGGCGCAGCGTGTGTAGGCGAAAGCCCTGCTGTGAATTTTGAAAATAGTTATTTTTGTCCCTGGCAAAGGAGGCCTGTTAGGACTCGTCAGCTTGTGGATGAGCAGATTGGGTGGGGTGGGGTGGGGTGGGGTGGGTGCGGTGCAGTGGAGGGGGGTTCAGATACTGGTTACAGAGCTGCATCACCACTGCAGAGGTGGCTAAACTCAGGAGCAAGGGTCTGGCCTGGGGCTGCAGAGCAGAGGTGGTCATCCATGTCCTGGGCCCCCTCCTTCCATCCCTGCTCTTTAGCTCTCATGGCTGCCCCCCAGCTGGAAGTGTTCCCTGTCTCCAGAGGGTTGGTGCCCATCCTGTGGTGGGTAGGGGCTAGGACTCGCTGGGACCTCTGGATTTTAGCCACCCGCAGCACTTCTGCCTGCTCAGGAGGGAGATCTGAAGAAGTCACTCAGTGGGATGGTGTCCTGGACCCAGCATACCTCAGGAATGGGCTGTCCACAGTCTGCCCATTACCCAGGGTACTCCAGCTCTGCCAGGTGCTTGTCTCAGCTGTGTGGGCTGGGCCCTTCTGGAGTGGCATGGAGCCAGGGTTCCTCTGAGGCCCCAGGCATGCACCAGTTGAGTGGGGGCCTCTCCTGTGACTGCTGAGTCGGTCCTGCCCAAGTTGGCCCAGCCTCCAGCTCCAGCTCTGCTTCTCTGCCTGGGTCCCTGCCTTTTGGGGACACAGTGAAGAACCATAAAAAGCCCTTTCTGCTCTCTCGGTACCAAGGCCTATCCTCTGTGGCCAACCTGGCCCCAAGCATTGAAAGTCCAGCTAGGGATGGGGGCTGGGAGCTTGCAATTACTCCTGGTGCCCTGAGAAGGAGGTATCTCCTTTGAAATTCCACTCCTTTGGAATTCATCTAATTCCAAACCTGCCTCAGCTCCCTAACTCAGAGCCCAGGAAATAGCCCAGGATCCTCAGTTGAGCTTCAGCCTATGGTCTGGCCCATTGCCCAGCAGTCCCCAAGCCTGCCTGACCAGGGCACTGGCAGCGGATCTGGGTCTGAGGTTGGTGGAGGGTCTCAAGTAGAAGGAGCAGTCAGGACTCGGGCATTGTGATGAGATGCTCAGCCTGCTTGCTGTGGCTGGCATTCTGCCCTGCAATCAGCACAGCTCCTGCCCCCCCTCCGGCCTCTTGTGTCCCCAGCCAGGGAGCTGGATCGGGATTCTGTGAGAGGCCCCTGACTGGCTTGGCCAGGCAGATGCTTGTACCACCTGTGGTGGAGAAGGCCGGGAAGGAGAGCTGACCAGGAGCAGCTCTAGCCTGTCAGGTCACAGCTCTGGGGATGTGGAGCCCAGATGCCAAACAGGCCCCCTGTTTTACCTTTGGCAGGATCAGATGGCAACAGATCTGCCAGCCAGAAGGGTAAAGCCAGGGGTGGCCATGACCGAGTGGGCTGGCCTCTGGAGTCCTGGGAGGGATACCCAGCCTTCCAGGAGCCAAGAGAGAGCCCCAGACCTGGCGAGAGGGGCAGGGCTCTGAGTCCTGTCCTTGGTCTTGGTGCCATTTCTTCCTCTCACTTGGCGGCCACCTTGAGACCTAGGTAAGCAGCTGTGCGGTGTCAGGAAGAGGGAGGGCCAAGCAGGGTCAGGGCACAGGTGCTGTTCTGGGGGTCAGGAGTTCCTGACGGTCCTGACTCAGCCTCTCCTGACGTGGGACTGAGGGAAGGTAGCGGCCTTTCTCTTGGCCTCAGTCACCCATCTGAAGAGTGCACGAGCTCCCTCAGGTTCCTTGCAGCCCTAGTGGAAGCCAGAGAACACAGGGCAGGGGTGCTGAAGTTCACACAGACCCCGGATGGTCAGTCACGTTACAGCTCCACAAAATGAGCCAAGATTTGTATCTCTCGTGGACATTGTTGTGAGGTATAAATGGTGCAGTATGTGAAGTACTTAGTACAGGGCCTGGCTCTAAAGTGGGAACAACTACTTCTCTGTCCTTGGAGTCAGTGAAGAAACATCTTGTCCCCGTATTTCTCAGGAGGAAGCGGAGACCCCAGTGGGAAAGAGACCTGCCATGAGCACTCTCAGCCGACGGCAGGACTTGAACTGGGTCCTCTGACTGCAGGCTGTGCAGACGTGCTCAGCGGCCACTGTCTTCTGCCCGTTGGCTCCCTGCTGCCCTCTCCCCTGCAAGGAGTGCCTCTTGTGTGGGCACCTCCAGGGAATGTGCTGCTCCCTGACCCCTGACTTCTCTCCCTTCCCAGTCAAGTCTGGCATTACTCACTGCAGCTAACTAACTGAAGCTCCCCCAGCCCAGCCCCTCTGCAGGGTCAGTTCTCTCTGGGCCCACTCTCCACTGATTCTGCCCCCCTGCTCACTGCCCTTAGTGGGACAGGCCTGGCGGGGAACCTTTGAGAGGACCCTGAGGCACTCAGGCATGTGAATATGAGCATGCGTGTGGGCTAAGGAATGTGGGGTTTGAGTCAGCCGTCACATGCTACTGGGGCTCTGGTCACTCTCCCACCACCGCCATGGCCCGGGAACTTGGCTGTGGTCACCTTTTGTCCCTCCCTACCCACATGGGCATGCCTGTGTTCATGTTCACATCCCCTATCCCAGCATGCCAGGGCTGTGCTCAGTGACCTCCCGGGCCCCTACCCTGGCCATTGGCCTGTGGTGCACAGGCCTGCTTTTGAGCACCACGTGCATATTGCAGATGGGGACACACGTGCTGGCTCGCATGCTTGCCGTGGCTCTGGAGAGTGGGGAGCCTGGTGGGAACAGCCCCCTGATGCAATCATTAGCTCATTCTCTCAGCACCATGGACACAGGACTGGCTCTTCACCGCCCGCCATCAGCAGGCACAGCTGCCAGCCTTGTGGGCACAGGGGAGGCATCGAATTAGTGGTCATGCCTCTTCAGCAGGGCAGCAGTTACAGTCAGGATAGGTGGGCGCACAGAGCCCACACCCCTGCGCTAGGCTCTTGAAGGTTCAGAGGCATCTGTGTAGTGGGTAAGACAGAGTTGCCAAGGAGACCTTTTCCTCTTACCCATCCACTTCCTCCCGCTTCCTGCTCTCCAGTCAGCTGGCCATCAAGGTCCTGCGGCCTGAGTCCTGCCTGGCCCCCAGTACTATGCACACAGGGGCCAGGCCACCACGGGGAGGGAGAGAAGGGTGATGAGGACTGAGAGACAGAAAGGAGGAGAGGCCGAAACAGGCAAGGAGAGGGAAAGACCCTGGCAGATAGGGAGCCCTGAGAAGAAGGGGCTCGAGGGCGGGGAGAAGAGGATGGGGCAAGGCAAGGAAGAGAAAGAGGGGAGGCAGAAACGGGAGTCGGAGAGAGAGCCTGGAGAAGGGAGGGGTAGGCAGAGCTGACCGCATTTCCCCTGCGACCCTGTGGGGGCACCCTGGCCACGTGCTCTGCTCTCTCCTGACCAAGCCGCAGCACCAGTGGAGGGGGTGCTAGAGGACGGGGCAGTCACACCAGCTCTAGGCCGAGCAGGAAGGCCGAGCAGAACTATTACCCCTCTGGTTTAGAATATTAGATTTTTATTAATACTGCCTGAGGGCACATGTGCATTTTGTTTTGTTTATTTCTAAAGCAGCCTGCCATTGGCACCTGATGAGCGGGAGGCCTCATGACCCCTCTCGCTCTAGCCCCAGGCCTTTGTTCTCCAGGAATTGCTGCAAACCAGATCTGGACAAAGGTGATGTTCAAACTGTGAGCTCAACTCCAGTGGGGACTCAGAGAATGGCCCCCCAAAAGTGCTGAGAGTTGAATATGGTGGTGTGTGCTTGCATGAGTCAGAAGGAGCCGTGTGAAGAGGGAGGGACTTTGGAGTCTCTTAATAATAATAATTTCCCATCTAGTGGGTATTTACAGTGTTCTGGCCACTGTGACCATCTCACTTAATCCTTAATACAGCCCTGGAGGTAGGGAATATTATCAACTCTATTTTGCAGATGAAGAAACTGATGCACAGAAAAGTGAGTACACTCATCCAAAATCACACAGTCTCTCTGACCACTTCAGACTCCCCTCTGCCCTGGGCAATGGCCGAGAGGGCCTCCCTGGTTGCTATGGGCTGTTCCAGCACTTTGATGTGTGGAAGCCATCCCCTCCTGGGAGACAGGCTGGAGGGTCTGGGGCAAGGAGGTAGCACCGCCGCCCTTCCCCCTTTTCCCCCCATAAGCCTCAAGACTCTAACAGTGTTCTGGTGTTCCATACCCCTGCCTGCTGCTCGCTGGCTGTGCAGCCCCCGAGCAAAGGCCTCTGTTCTCTCCCTCTGAATTGCAACGTTGGCGGCAGAAACGGGAAGCATATTGTGCGCAGAAACAAAACTGAGTAGTTTTTCCCTTTTCTGAAGGTGGTAATGGTGCAATTAGTGGCTAAGCCATTACCCCTCCCCCTTTCTCCCCTCCCCTCCTTCCCCTCTGCCTCCCTCCTATTTCTCTCCTGGGAAGAAGTGGCTGCATCAGAGAGCCAACCCCATTATTCTCTCCCACCTGTGATTTCCAGGGAGAGGGGCAGAGTTGGGGGGAAGTATGCAGATGTCTCCAGGGTCCCTGGACCTAGGGCAGCAAGTCAGGGGACTGTGGGGGTTGGGGATTACCAACACGCAGACAATGTGTCTGGCATGTTGAGGTGACCACTAAGGCGATCTGGGGGTTCAGAATTCGTGGACTAGGAACCCAGAGCGTTTGGATCCTGGATCCTTTTATCTGACCTGCGCTCATTGTAGGCAAGTGCTGGCTTGAGACCTCAGCCTGGTGTGCTTTGAAATGAGCTTGGGCGGGGGGAGGGTATGATATTCTAAGTCCAGGTTGGAGTGATGGGGGTGGCACAGTCCCACTTAGGACCTTCCTTTTCCTCTTCTGGAAACTAAAAAGAGGCCTAATGTTCACATACTTCCCAAAGGCCTCTGCAGTCCTTAGCCTACTCCCTCTTCACAGTCTTCCTCTGCAGTGGCAACTCTGTTCTGTTTTATAGAAAAGGAGCTGGAGGCTCAGAGAGTGGCAGTGACTTTCCCAGGGTCACACAGCTAATACATGTTAGAGCTGGCATTGAACTCAGCCCCTTAAACTCCAGTCCTTTTCCTTCTTAACCACGCAGGTATTAGGCTGAGATATTGGGGCCATAGATATGGCTGCTGCCCTGAAGGGTTGAAGTAGGTAGGAAAAGTGCCCACAATTTGGGAATGAGGATTTCAGGACAGGTCCATGGCCCTTCCCTTCCTACTGCTGCCTTTGCCTCTTTCACCTTGACTTGAAGCACAAGCAGAAACTGGGACATGAGCCCCAGGGGACCAGATTTCCATGGTCCCTCTGGGAGAATGGGGGTTGGGGGAGGTTGCAGAAGGGGTTTCAGGAACAAACCAGCTGTCATAGCTGTGAGGGCTGGGGGTGAGCCGCAGCCAGGCTGTTCTCTCCAGAATCCTGGTGTCTCCTCTGCACTTCTCCCCAAGCTGGAATGTCAATGCGATGGACAAGGTGGCAAAGAGCAGAGGGACCAAGGGCAAAATAAAGAGGCAGTGGAGAAAAATCCCAGGATACAGAAGGGGCAGAGAGACAGTTACAGAGACTATGGTCATCCACTGAGAGAGAGATCCCAATGAATTAGCCAATGTTTCCCTGTAAACCTTAGATCCCGTTGTTGCCAGGGCAACAGGGCAATACCTGTCTTTCCAGAGGAGATGAAGTTGCCAGGGTAACTGCATTCTGTCTTTCCTGGGGACCATCCTGGAATGTGGCACCCACTGGCCGTTACCATGGCAACTGTTATTTTTTGCCCCACTTAATCCCATCCTGTCTGCTACAGGGGCCCCACAGTTGGAGGTGGGGGAGGTGGGAAGAAAGAAGATCTCTTGTGGACTAAGTTTGTTCTCCTCCCCCTCGGTCCCTCACCTCCGGGGTGCTGGGTCCACTGGCCCCCAGGCCCACACATGCCTGCAGTATTGTGTTCGGTAGGGCCGGGTGTCCTGGAGCAGGTTTTGCAGTGGAAGGCAGGCAGGTGTTGGGGAGGCAGTTACCGGGGCAACGGGAACAGGGCGTTTTGGAGGTGGTTGCCATGGGGACCTGGATGCTGACGAAGGCTCGCGAGGCTGTGAGCAGCTACAGTGCCCTGCTCAGAAGCCCCGGGCTCATCAGTCAAGCCGGTTCTTGGTTTGCACTCAGCAGCACGGGCAGGCGAGTGGCCCCAGTTCCAGGAGCAGAGCAGCAGTGCCCCAGTCCTGTCCTCCAGCCCATAGCCTTGCCTGCCCACCCAGTGCCAGGATGGCCACCATCACTTGCACCCGCTTCACAGAAGAGTACCAGCTCTTCGAGGAACTGGGAAAGTAAGTTGCACCTCAGAGTCCTGGAGGGCACAGGGGGTTGGTGTCACAGGCGGGGTATTTGTACCAGCAGCGCCCCCGGTGCACACACAGGGAGGAAGGCTGCATGTGTTCGAGGGCGCCTGCATCTGCAGAGTGCCCAGAGCCGGGTATGGGCATGTTTGTGGGTACACAGATATGCCAAGGTCAGCAGGGCGAGTGTGTGTGGAGGGGAAGGGTAGATGATGCACACCGGTGCATGCACACACACACATAAGTGTACATGACCCAGGCACACACAGCTTCATAGAAACTTATGCTTAAAAAGGGATTTTCCCAGTCAGCTGAGGCCAAGGCTGCAATCCCCTGTTGAGTTTCTCTTGAGGGGGCCATCTGGCCTCAACTTGGATACTGCTGGTGACAGAGAGCTCACTGCCTCTCAGGTAGCCTTTTCTGACTTTAACCACCTGCAGTGACCGTGCAAAGGGGCCAACTTCTCCCTGTAAGCAATCCCCCTCCTCGCTCCTCTAGGAGTTGGGGCATCAGTACAGCAGGGGTTAGTGCTGATGGCTGGTGAGCCTTCCTGGCTGCTGGGCAGAGGAGGCAATCAGGCAAGTTGTGGGGCACTGCTGCTGCAGGGATTAGTGGCTTGAGGGCGCACCAGCTCTGATCCCTTAGCAAAGTTGTCCCGCCCCAAGGCTCATTTTCTGCCTCCAGTCACTGGTGTGGAGAGAGGGGTGGGAGGATTGGGGAGAGGAGAGCCCCTTGGGATAGCCCAGTGGGCTTGGAGTGTCAGGGAAACATTCTTGACTGTCCCCAGCTAGATTTGTGGAAGATCCAGGGATGGACCCATGGTAAGGGTACCGTTTGGAGATAGAGATTGCCCCGTGGGCAGAGCAGCTCCAGTGCCCTGGATGGTCCCTGCTGTTGCAGCAGGAGCATACGGGAGAGGGGCTCTGTAAGTAGGTGTGTGCTGGTGTGAGGTCTGGATGTTTGCACAGTGTGCATTTAGGTGTGTGTTGTGTGAGGACTGACTCCAGGGTATACTGAAAGGGTATGCAAGTGTTCATGTGTGGCACCAGGAGGAGGTGCTGGTGTGTAATTCCTGCATAAGGCCTGAAAATGCAAATGTGCACTGCAAGGGGGTATGTCTGCAACTGGCACAAGGGGCACCTGTGGCTGATTTGCATGAGAGTGGAGGTGTGAACATGCATCACTGTGGGTGCACATGTATGGCAGGTCAGAGCTGTATGCACATCATTGGGCAAAAGTGTATGAGGTCTGGGCATGTGCAAATATATATATATATGTGTGTAAGGATGCACTGTGGGACTTGGGCACAGTGGTGTCCCTATAAGGTCTGGGCATGTTCATCCATGTGAGGACTAGGGGGCATGCATACGGGAAGGTGTATGAGTGTGCGTGTGAGGTCTGAGTCCACAGGCTCGGTAGGAGTGTGGGTGTTGTAGACATGTGTGAGCTCATGCTGGTGTCTGCATATGTGTGGGAGTTGGGCCTGTGGCTGTGTACAAGTAGACTGCCTGCACACACACACACATACACACTCACACACCAGGCACACACCAGCTCCCTTGTACAGACACATACCCATCTGCAGATGTGTGCTCACTCTCTCCTACAGACTTCCTGTCTTGCTGAGTGTGTTTTTTGGGGGTGAGCAGCAGGAACAAAATGTTTAGGGCTGCTCTGGAGGACTGAGGCTGTCTGCCACACTTGTGCAGAGACCCTTTGTCAGCTGGGCTCGAGTGGGTACTGGAACCCAAGGATTCTCTGATCAGCTGGGAGCTGCCTTTCAGGCTTGGCTCTGGGAGGACTGCGTCACAGAGTGCAGTGAAATGGAGTTGAGATGTGACTCAGGCACTCAGAATGAAAATAAAAGTGGTATTTTGCCCCAAGAGGAGATGGATACCATGAAGACTGGGTGCTGAGGGGCTGACTTGGCAGAGAGAGCCTTTATGAGCCTTCTCAGCCCCACTGCCTGCCAGGGCACGTGGAGGGACTGGGGCAAAGGCAGGATTTCAAGGAACATGGCTGGCATGGCTATAGAAGCAACACTGAGGATGGCAGGCATGGCCAGGCTTTGTCTAATCAAGTTTAGGCCTCTTTCTTCCAGAACCATTGCTCTTAACCTTTTTTAGGTTACATATTCCTGCAGGAATCTGACAAAAGTCTAAATCGACATTCCCAGAAAATGCACAGACCTACAAAATGTTGCATGCAATGTTAGGACACCAGGAAGGCTGTGGCTGGGCCTAAGGTTAGGGATGCTTGTGCTGGAAAGGAGACGAGGCTCCGCACCTCTGATACCTGGGTTAAAAAGGCCAGGGCACATCACTGAGGAGGCAGGCCTACTCTGCATGGCGGCTTCAGCCCAAGTGCCCAGGGGGGCGGGGAGCAGTAGCAGCGGGCACAGAACATAGGCTCTGGCCCTCCCCACTCACAGCTCTGATGCCGGGCTGGCTATGACTCCTCTGCCCTCCTCCCGTAACCTGGGGATAAACAGCGGGTATGAGGATGAAACGAGATGGTGTGTGTGAGGATGTAGTGACAAGACTGGCACACAGTGGGCCTTCAATAAAGGATCCCTGCTGGGATCACCACTGCCCGCAGTCTGGGCAGGCTGAAGCAGTGGACTAGGGCCTACCACATGCCCACCTGTTGTCTGGAGTTTGTCCAGCTTGAGGCAATAGTTCCTCTTCCATCAGAAGAAGCAATAAAGGTCGCTGCAGGGCCCATCATTGCAAACAATGACCTACCCAGCCAGCGGGGACACTGCAGCCACCACCTGGAAGCTGAGCTGCTGTCCCAGGAGCCCCTTTCATATCACTGGCACAGGCAGCTGGGTCAGCCCTACAAGGGCACATGGCAGCCTTTGACCTCCTTCTTCAGGGCTGAAGTGTTCTCTCCTGGGCTGCCCAGCTAGAGACAGGGGCACTTGCCTCTCAAGGGCTTCCTCATGTCCTGTCCAGTGAGGCCTGACTTGTGACTGCAGACCTTTGAGGGGCCCAGGGTAGGGCTGCCTTTGGATGTGAGAGAAGATGCCTCTCTCCTGCCTAGTAGACAGCCAGCTTTGGGATGTGAGCTGCAGTCAGGGCCCGGGCAGGGGCTCCCAGGACCTCCTAATGCCCCTGGACAAAGCCCCAGTGCAGCACATGATTCAGAGAAGCCAGGAACTTGGTTCCAGGTCCCCTAGAGGGTTGAGGTGGAACTGTCTCTTGGAACCTGGAGACTAGCCACCTCCCTTGACCCCAATCCTTCATCCCAGAGGATGAGAGAAATGAAAGCGCAGACCCTAGGAGCACAGAAGCTTGTCCAGAGGCAGCCCGCAGCCCTGCTCCAGGGGCGGGGTGGGCCTGGGCAGTTGGGCCAGCATTCCAGGCAGGCCAGGCCTTCTCAGACCAGGGCTGGGGAAAGGGTTGTGCTCCCAGAGGTGGAGAAGGGCATCACCTCCAGTCTTTGACATTCTCTGGGCTTTGGGGCCTACTTCCGAGAGACTTAAGGAGGCAGAGAATTTTGCCTGCGGCCTGTGTAATCACCAGGCTGTTCAGAGAGAGAGGTTCCGAAGGAGATCTTACCCGAGAGAGGGCGAGGGAGAGGGAAGGGGAGAGACTGGAGAGGGAGCGCAACCCCCGATTTTCCCTCTAGAAACAGGGATCTGGAACTGACTCAGGGGCGGTGCTGGGGCAGGGGAGGGGTTCAGGGGCCAGCAAGGTTGGCAGTGGGGCAGAGAGAGCTGGCTCTGGAGCTCCGGCCCCCTTTTGCGGCTTTGTATCATGAACCAGGCTTGGGCTGGGCTGGTCCATGGGGAACACTGGGGCCCAGAGGCAGCTCCCTGCATTGAGAGGCCCAGGGGCCTGGGTGCTTAGGTTCCCCTTCGGACAGGAGCTCTAATTCCTGCAAAAATGTGTTTAGCAATCCTGCCCTCCCTTGGCCAAGCTGCAAAGAGGGTCGGTGGTGTAATATTGGAGAGGGAGAACTCCTGGGCTTCTGCTCACCATCCAAAGATGGGGATTAGCTTTTACTCTGCACATTCTCTCTCACATTACCTCTCACATTCTCAGCAATTGGGGCCGGTGAAGCACTTCTCCATCTGTTAGCTCATCTCTCAGGGGGCAGAGGGCTTACTCGTCCATCCTGCAGATGAGCATACTGAGGCTGGAGGAGGGAGAACGGCCAGCCGGGGGACTGGAGGCAGCCTGTAGACCTGTGTGCGGTTCTCTAGCACCTGCATGCGGGGAGAAGGTTGATGAGAAGGGCCACTCCTGCTGCTGCATCTGGGGAACACAGGGAAGAAGGCCCGTGGCCTTGTGGGTGAGGGAACTCTGGGCTGTCCCTTATTTTCCAATCATAAGTCTGCCTCTACTGGGCCACCTGGGTGGATCCCTGGGCCTTTGTGTACCTCAGCTTTACCATCTGTAACATGGGGATCAGATGCTGAAATGTCCCATTAGGATGCTACCTTCTTTAGCCTCCCTCTGTGAAAGGCACCCATGGGAAATTCCAGACTCACAGAATATCAAAAGTGGAAAGACCATAAACACGGTCCATTCATAGCATAGATGGCAGAGCCTACACCCGGAGAGAAACAGTTTGCCCAAGGCCACAGGGAAGAATGGTGGCAAAGCCAGGTGTGGGCCCAGAGGCCAAGGACAGGGAGCTGTGGGGCAGGTCCTCAGTGAGGAGGTAGTGGGGATGGGAGGGGACAGCCTTTCCTCCCCACCGTGGCATCAGAGCGGCAGGTCCGCACATGTTCTGGTGCATGCCGCAGCCCTCCACCCCTGCGCCTCTGCCCCCACACAGGCTGAGGCGCACGACACTACTGAGCCTCCCCCTGCCCGCCTGCCTCCCCGCACAAGCACACAATGACACTGTTGCCAGCACCCCTGCAGTTGGCGCCCCAGCCTTTTTGGTGGGTGAGGGCAGAGCCTTGGAAGGCAGTGCCTGCAGCCTGTTGCTGGTGCGTGTATACACACACTCACACACACACATGCTCACGGGCATGT